CAGTTTGTTTAGTTTTAAGAAACAATGAAGTGTTTAATTTACTTTATAAAGCATTTTATTCAAAATAAGTTGTAATATTTTTAAAATTTATTTCTCAAAGTCATAAGCTTAAACTGCACACCTTATTCCCAATCTCTGATCAACAGACCAGTAGAGGCAGGGTACAGTGGCTCACGTTTGTAATTCCAGCACTTTGGGAGGCCAACGCAGGAGGATTGCTTGAGCCCAAGACCAGGCAATATAGCAAGACCTCATCTCTAAAAAAAATAAAAACAAAAAAGGAAGAGCAGACCAGTAGTCTCAAAGAAACCAAATGACTCTGCCCAGGAGAGGGGCAGTGCATGGCACAGTGGCCAGAGCTGATGAGACGTGTAACCCTCAGGATGAGCCCAGTGAATAACCCTCTGTCTCTCCCATCTCCAGCCCGGTGCTGTCTAGTGCCTTGAATTCCATCTTCAACAAGTGGGACCTCCCGGTCTTCACACTGCCCTTCAACATTGCTGTGACTTTGTACCTGGCGGCCACAGGCCATTACAACCCCTTCTTTCCTACAACACTGGTGAAACCTGTGTCTTCGGTGCCCAATATCACCTGGACAGAGATCGAAATGCCCTTGGTAAGTTACCCCATGGTGAAGCATCAAGATCCGCAAATACCACTGCAGGCCTCCTCACTAACCAGTTTGTGGACGACCCAAGCTCTCAGCTTTTCTAGAAGCATCTCTACCAGATGACAGGCCTCAGCAGCGTAACATGAAAGTAGCTGCCACATTCATAGGCCTTCCTTGAACATCCAACATTGGCTGGGAGCCGGGCTCGGTGGTCCAGCCTGTAATCCCGCACCTTTGGGAGGCTGAGGTGAGTGGATTGCCTGAGCCCGCGGGTTCAAGACCCTCCTGGGCAACTTGGCGGGACCTCATCTCTACAATAAATCAAAAAAATTAGACGGACATGGTAGCGCGCGCCTGTAGTTCCAGCTACTTGGAAGGCTGAGGTGGAAGGATGGCCGGAGCCCAGCAGGTTGAGGCTGCGGTGGTTGGGAGTGGCCGCTGTACTCCAGTCTGGGTGACTGAGTGAAACTCCAACTCAAAAAAAAGAAAAGAAAAGTATATTCTTAGTGCCACATGGGGTCAGACCCACTTCTGAAAGTGGCTTCTTGGCAACTGCTGTGGAAGAACAGGCTTGCCCTTGTGGTTGTTAACCTCAAAAGTTAAGGGAAGTTTAGTCAAGAAGTATGATAGAAGCTGTTTTTACCTTCAGCAAACTCAAGAAGCCAGATACCTATCTGGAGATCACAAAGTCAGAATTTGTTTCCTCCTGTGGCTGCTGCTCTGGACCCTGGAGTTCCTAAAGCTCTTCCGTAGCTCTCCTATTCACTGACTTCAGATACGATGAAGCTGCTGGCCGTGAAGGTCCAGTGTTCCAAGGACCAGGCATCACAGTTCTGGACTGGATATTTGATCTCTCTTACTTAGCTCAGAATCTGAAGTGATAAGAAACTGCAGTTCATGATACGTAGCATTTTGTTGAACTTTACAGTGTAGATCTTTTGTAGTCCCTGGATCTGTAACAATTGGACTCATCCTTGTGCTTTTCCATAGGCGCCTGGTGTTCATTGACATAGACCGAGATACTGGGTGGCTCTACAGGGGACTCTGAGCCATTTGACAGACTAGGTGATTCCAGTCTCCTCACATTATTTAAGCCCCCATCTCAGCATTCTAATTTCTCTGAATCCCCCAGTGTGTATAATATATACTTGCTTGAAATTCCTTATATATTGCTTGCACATTCTTGCTTCTGAGTTTCAGCACATACCACTTCCTTCTGTTTAGAATGCCTTTCCCTGACTGCCCTCAACCGATTCGTGCTTTATCTTTTTAAAATCCAACTCAGAAATCACCTCCTGTAGAAAGTCATCTCTGATTAATCTCATTTAACCTAATTCCTTCTTTCTGGGACTGTTTTCCAGTCCATTAAACTCTTTTGTTTCTTTGTAATTATTTCTTCCTTACATTGTCATCCAGCAAGCACAGTGATTCTGGGAATGCTAATCTTCCTCCATTCCTGGTCTTTATTATACACAAACATTTTGAAGGCCTACCGATGGCTTTCTCAGTCTCCCAGAGTTCTAGTTCACCTCCCATGCCATTTCCCTTTATTTCGCAGTTACATTCCCAGAGAAACAGGCATGTGTTCAGGGCTTGGCCTCCACCTCTGCATGTGTGTGGCAGCCTGTGACTAGATCCCTGCACCGGGAAGGATTTCGCCCTCTGGTGTGACAGTCTCTACATTTTGCTTAGGCACGTTCAAGGAGAAGACGTGAGACCAGGAGTAGACCCGGATATGGGAGTCAGGAAATTTCCACTGAAAGCCAGGTTGCTTTTCCCTTCCTTTTTACACAAGCCTTCTGAAGCTGCTGTCGTCAGCAGCTCACCCGACACTCTCCTGCTTTGCGTCTCTTCCAGGAGTCAGGGTTAGTTTAAGAAAAAGCCTCTTGCTAGAAGCCATGACCTCGTACTTTTATCCCCTCCATCTGGTGTGTGGCCTCATGGGGCTGTGCTGCTATGCAGGAGGTGAGCAGTGGAATTCTTTAGATGATGACTTCTGATCCCACATGCGGAGGCAGCGGGGGTGGGAAGCAGGGGGAGCAGTGAGAGCCAAGATCGATGGACCAAGAAGGAAGGTCTGCCCGGGAGCAGGCCCGACTCGGTAGCTATTTCCATGAGGTGTCCTTCCCCAGCTCAAGCAGGGCCCCGGGTCAGGAGTGTAGCACCCAGCTCTGTGATGGATGAATACTGTTCTGCAGTTTCCCCTCCGCCTTCACGGCTGGGGTGCAGGAGGGGGACAGCTGGGTGTGCATGGGCTTGTGCTGTTGCTGGCAGAAGGCGTGTCAGGACTGGGCAGGGAAGGGTCCCTCGCACACATTCTCTTGGAGCTGCTTTTTCTCACTGTCTTGTACCGAAACCGAGGTCCAGATATTGAATGAGAGTGAGAGTAGGAAGGGGGGTTAAGAGCAGCAACGGTTTTTGATCAAGTGAAAAATCTCTGGTCTGCTCATCTCGCAGGGGTGTCTCTGCAGGGTAGATACCCTTTGCCTTGGTGTGGACGAATTGCCTGTCTCAGCTAGAGGTGCCAGGACCCTTGTTGGGCCATGGGTAGGCATCTGATAGGACGGTTTCCTAGGACACTTCATTCCCTGATCTTGCTTTCCTCACCGAGGAGTTGACAGCATTTTTATTTATTTGTTTGTCTTTATTTTTGAGTTGAAGTCTCACTGTTTCACCCAGGCTGGATTACAGTAGCACACTCAAGGCCACCAAAGCTTTGACTGCTGGGCTCAGGCGATCCTTCCGCCTCAGCCTTCCAAGTAGCTGGAACCACAGGTGTGCACCACCATGTCTGGCTAACTTTTTGATTTATTGTAGAGACATCTTGCCGTGTTCCCCAGGCTGGTCTCAAACCTGTGGTTTCAGGCAATCCTCTCGCCTTCACCTCCCAAAGTGCTAGGATTACAGGCATGGGCTACCATGCCTGACTTGACAGCATTCTAAAAAGGAGAAGTCTCAAAGGAAATTCAAATACATACTTTAAAAGCCCAAAGCCTTAATAACTCCCTCTCATGGCTTCTCATGACTACTTCTACTCTGTCTACACATATAGCATCACTCTACAATAACTAGATAAAACTAAAACAAAAATTGTAATGTTAATCTGAAGAGGGGAAAAAGGAATAGAAAGAACTAGGAGCCAGAGGTGTTTAAATGTAGAACACAGGCGGGGAACAGTGGCTCACGCCAATAATCCCAGCACTTTGGGAGGCCAAAGTGAGAGGATTGCCTGAGCCCACCGGTTCGAGACCAGCCTGGGCAACTTGGTGAGACCCCATCTCTACAACAAATCAAAAAATTAGCCAGGTGTGTTGGTGTGTGCCTGTAGTTCCCGCTACTTGGAAGGCTGAGGCAGAAGGATCACCGGAGCCCAGCAGGTTAAGGCTGCGGTGGCTGGTAGTGTGCCACTGCACTCCAGCCTGGGTGACTGAGTGAGACTCCTACTCAATAAATACATAAAAACAAGTGTGGAACACTTTGTATGGTGATCTTGTGGTATTGGTGGTGACAGTGGCAAAAATGGCAAAAAGGAGATTCATTGATGAGGTCCGGGAGGGCCTAGGTTACTCCTTTGTAAACTCTGCTCAGATACACTCTCCTGGCAGTCCTGGGACTCCTATAGTGCTTGAATATTTTGTATCAATTTCTTTTTTGAAGGTGCTGGGTCTCTGGTGCCCCCAACCCTGGGCATCCTCAGGCTTTGAGGAGAATACACAGGATTTGAAGTCAGAAGATCTAGGTTTGCGTTCTGGCTGAGCCACTCACTGTCCCTGAGACCGTGGACAAATCACTGAACCTCTGAAGCATCTGTAAAACGACATTAACCCTACCTCACAGGGCTGTTGTGAGGATTACGTATATGTAAACCCTTTGTGAACATCACTGTTATTCTGGGGGATCCCCACCTGGGATGTTGTCAAGTGGGACATCTGTCCATGAAGCTGTCTTCCTTTTTTCCTCTTTCAGCTCAGCCCTTCTGTTTGGTCCCAGCTGCTTACAGAGGTTGGTACGGTTGAAGCAGTCACCAGATTTTGGCTTCCTTGTTAGAGAGAGAACTCCCATGTCCAGCCGCTCTTTCCACAGATTAATAGAGAGAGTAGAAGTGAATAAAGGAGTGTTTAAGCCAGGATAGTTCAGAGTTAGGGGCCAAGGGGAAAATGCTGACCTTGCATTCTCAAGTTCAGGATGACTAAAACATCTTAAGTAAATGAAGAATAGCCAGAAAGATGCTCAGAGATTATTTAAGCCACGGATGGAAAGCGGGTAAATGCATTTATACATTCTCTTCTATCCCTTGTACCTTTGAGGTCAGAGACAGGAATATTACTGACACCTTGCTGGCTCTTGTCAGAAATGTGCCCATCACCCAAAGAGAAGAACAGCTTCTGGGAAAGCTCAGTTCAATGTAGCAACTGTGACACGTTTGCCCTAATAAAGCTGCCGCTTGGTCTCTTCCAGTGCCTCTGTCTTGTGGGGATCATTCCTGGAATGCAGAGTTGTCCTGTTTTCCAACCCAGTAAGAGTTCAAAACGACAGGTCATGAGCAGCAGGCTTGGCAGTTACACCTTACGTAGGCATAGGAGACGGCGCTGCTTACAGCATGCAGGGTGCATGTCTCACGGCTCCCACATGAACCAGCCTTGGAAGCAGAGCAGTCTCAGCCACTCTGCTTCGGGGTCGTTCTCTGCCGCTGATCCCGTCTCTCCGTGCCTTTTCTGCGTCCTTTGCTCCCCCCAGCTCACCTCCCAGGGGAGTTCTGAACCAAACAGTGCCTGTGTGTTGAGAGTGTGGCTTTGTAATATTCCTTGGTAATAGCTCGACCCTGCCAGTATGCTTTTTGAAGGACGGAATCAAAAAAATCTAGTTGCCTTTTTTAATTGTTGGGGAGAGGGTGATGACTAGAACTCCCACGCAGTCTCAGAGAAGCTGTGTGTGGGTCCATATCTATGCATTCGTGTGTGTAACCTCACGGTTGTGCTCAGGCTGACAGCACAAGGAAGCATCCCTTTCTTGTTTTGCAGCACTGCTTCAAAGGTGCCCAACCCCCGAAGTAGCAGGCAGTTCCCAAGTGGAGGGTGGGGGCAGAGGCCTCCACCAAGGCCATCAATAACCAGGTGTGAGCTGCAGGTCTCTGTGTAATGTGAAGCTCTCCCGTATTTCATTTCTGCACCCAGGGGGCGGCTCTGCAGGATTGCTTACGGAGCGCTCTGTGTCTGGCACCTCTCTCCACAAGGCCCAGGCGCCCAGGGTCCCACCGACCTGCCCAGGAATGCATCGCATTGTTCTCTGGTGCTGTAATTTGGCTGCAGGAGCTAGGCTGAGTGCCTCCCAGGGATGAGAAACACACTCTCCCTGGCGTCCTCCCTTCTCCCTGGCCAGCTTGGGCTTCTGCGAGCATTTAAATAAAAAGCCTCAGAAAGGCAGAGGAAAAAATTCCTGATGATCTCTTTTCTATTAAGCCACGTAGAGACTTATGTCCTGAGTCTGTCTGAGAACTTGGCAGAGACTTCGTGGTTGGTGTTCTTGATAAGGGGAGGGAAAGAACAAGGATACTGCTCTCTCAACAGGAAGAAAGAGAAACAGGCCGCAAGTGTTCGCGAGTGAGGCCTACAAGACTTTCTGCAAACAGATCCTCAGGGACAGGCAGGGTTTGATTCTTTTAATTAATCTGATGTCCCTGATTTCATTTTTCCAGCATCACTTTGAGCCGTTAGGACTAGTAACAATAAAAGTTGGCTCTTATCTGCAGGGCCAGTTAAGCCTGACATCCTTACTTCTGCATAAGAAAAACTGGCTCCAGGCTGTGCAGCCGAGGTACTTCAGTCACGTGCCGTCTAAGACCCTTAAAGGACAGAGTATCTCTTACGTTAACTTTGTTATCTAAGTGACACTGACAGTACATCAGACCTAAAATGTATCAAAAGCTAGGAGGAATGGGAGGGAAAGGGAAGAAGGAGCTAAGACACTGCTGGCCTCGGGGGACAGAGCCTGTCACACAGGAGGGACAGCAGAGGAGCAGGCAGAAAGCAGAGTGAGCAGTGGAGCCCTGACCGCGCCAGGTGAAGCTCTCACTTTGCTGCCCGTTCCAAATACCAGCTTCTGTGTGTGCGGTGTGGAACGGATGCCAGTTGCCTAAAGCCAGTCGGAATGTAGAGGCAAGCCAAGGACTAGAGGAACTCCTTGCTTGGCCATCATTCCTTCTTGGGCCACACAACCTCTGAAGCAGGCTCGAATGGCCGTCTCCTTCTCTTGCTTATTCCCCTTAATCTTCAAACATGCTGCTCTCTGGAGGGCTTGCTCTTCTCCTCGCCAACTATAGGGAATTGCAGAACTCGCATCTTTAGGAGCTAGAATCTGGAGCCCGGGGAAGAGGTGCACTTCCTTCCACAGGGCGAGGGCCAAAAACCAGACGAGCTGATAGGGAACAGGCAGCTTTAACTCGGGTTGACTTCCCGTGGAAGGCCTAGGTCATCACTTAACACGGCCGCCTGGATGTGCTTGAGGCCAAGGGCTAGCCAGGACCTGAGCTCTTCCCAGCAGCCTGGCATACGAGGCCACACCCTTTTGTAAATTCATTCAGCCCCATCCTTGAGTTCTCACTGACCATGGCCCCTTACCTCCCTACCACCCCCAAAGCTTTCCTCCTTTTAATCCAGCTCACGACGTCAGAAGCCTTTTTTTCCCCTCCCATTACCCCCTCCCTGATCCCACCGTTGGCTCATCCGTTATCCAGTCGACTCCACTCCTCAAGGCATTCCCCCAGCCTGACTCACTCAGTCCCACTTCTCCACAGGCATCCCCTTGCCGCAAACCACAAGGGCCCTGACTAGCTCATGTTTTGTGTTAATGGATGTGAAACTGGAGCAAATCCCCTCACCAAAAGAAAAACCACCCTAAACTCTCCCACACAGGTCTCAGCAGGTTACACAAATATTAGTCCTATCATCCAAATAAATCTGCCCCCGTGGCCCAGAGCTTTGGCTCCCCCAGCCTCCTGCAGCCTAAGCAGAGCGAAGCTGCTTCAAAAACATGTGAGGACCCCAAGGGATGTTGGAGAGGAACTCAGGAAAGGAAAGGGGCCTATATCCAGAATTCCTTTTGTGGGCCCTGAATCTGCAGCCTGTTGTGAATACTTCACAGTCCTAAACTGAAGGCTTTGAGAAGTCATGACAGGCTAACCCGGTCCGAGGCCTGGGTGAAGACTATCCATTGGCTGGAATTTGGAGCATAATTAAAACTGAGGTAGGCTAGATCCTCGTTTTACGAATGAGAAAACAGAAGCTCTTGAAGTGAAGCTCGGAGAATTTAGGTACCTTTCTCAAAATATTGAAAGCAAGTGGCAAAGCTGTGATTTTTAACCCAGTTCTGTCACAACTGCAAATTTCTGCACCACTCTGCTGCTTTAAAATATCAACAGGCAAGAGATGAGCCCTGCCCAAGTCACATAAAAATAGGGCATCAAAGTTTTGGGGACTTGTGTCCTCCCCACCCCGCCTAGTAAGCCTGCTATCTCCGGAGACGCCACTGCTGCAAACGGGTGGTAGTGTAGAGGGAGCCCTCCCCTTGCTAAGCCAAATGTGGAGTGAACAATAATAATCACCAGGACTCAGAGAGTCTCTAAATAAAGATTTGTTGAGTAAATGGGGGAGGCGACCTTCAACACCGGTTACCACTTTGGCCCCAAGCCCCACTCTCTGTCCTGCTGTAGCTGCTGGCTCCTGCTCCCAGCTTCCAAGGCTGAGATCCTTTCCTAAAGAATCACGGAAGCCAGGGATTCTCACCTGCCTTGTGCACACTGATGCCTCGGGGCGGAGGTGGGGTGGGGGGGGGTTTTGAGATGACACGTGCTTACCATCTCCACCCTCCATGCGTTGCCTGTCTTTTACGCAGCGTGTCTCAAACCTGGCTCACCTCCAGAGTAATGCATTGAAAAAACAAAAGGCTCAAGGCCTAGCCAGACCTACTAAATTGCTCTATCTTATAAGTGTTCCAGGGTGTTCTAATGATCTGTTAAGCCATGGGAACCACCACACGCCACTTCAGTTTGAACAGGCAGCACCTGAGCAAAAGAGGCAATGCTGTCTGACATAGCTTGAAAAGGAGAGGAATGAATGAATGTGTGTTTGTATGGTTTTTGTCTGATTTTTTTCCCCCCTACAAAACACAGCAGTTGATAAACATCTGAGCCTGTGAATGGAACCTTTCCACTACGGCTAACTCTCATCTAGCAATCTTAGGCTTTCTCTAATAGAAGAATGTTGTAGCCTAAGCTTTTCTTCCGGTGCCAGGCAGTCTGCTTAAACTGACTCCAGGGAAGGGACATGCAGTCTCATCCCTGTCCCATCTAACTTCAGCCAGGCAGAAAGAAAAGGAAGCTCTCTCTAGGTACCCTTCCTCTTGCACGCCCAGGAAGCATCAGGAAGCCAGTGCAAGGAAAGGAAAAACGAGCCTCGCCTAGGTTCTGTAGTGCAACTCACATGACTCTGAAGACCCCCTATCTCCTCTACTTTCCTGCCAGACCTCCAGAGGGGGAAGTCAGGGAGGTGCTGCTGCTTATGTCCCCTGCCAACTCCTTCCTGGGGCTAAGAAGCCAGCCAGGACACCACGGTCCTTCTGGGTTACTCTCCAAGTCCTTAAATAGAAGCTGTAGCAGCCCAGGTGGAGGGTGGAGGAAGGTGAGCATGCAAAGATCTTGTGCTTTTGAGTCGGGAGGCTTGAAGTGAAGGGAGGAGAGAGGTATCCGTGTGTTCAAGTTTGGTCCAGCCACTCTGCCTTCTTGGGAGCCTTGCAGGTATGGACGTCCACAGTGTTTCTGCACTCCTTGCACCGCACAGCACAGCACCAGTGGAATTTGCACTCACACTGGGTGACACGGGTGACTCGAGTCGTGTCATACCCTCGGCCACAGCACATGATTTCACAGCCGTCTGTTCCTTTAGATGTCTTGCTGCAGACACGGCCTGCGGTGCCTAGGGAGCCTGGGTTGGGGAACAGAAAGAAAAAACCAAGATACCTCTCACTTCAACAGCTCTGGGCCCTCTCACCCACCTTCTCCGAAGGAAGCCATAAAACATCCCTTATTCCGAAAATACACCCACTAGCTAAAATGCTCATCTCACTGCCCTCTGCACCAGGCTTATTTCTTCCCACCATCAAGACTCCACAAAGGCCATTGACTTCACCTGAAACTCCTTCCCTGCCGATACACATCTCCATGTCCTTTTCAGAATCTAACCTTAATTTTTATTTTTTATTGGTTTACTTTCTTTAATCTTAATTTTTTCGAGCTGGGACTACTGCCATGTGCAACCATGCCCAGCTAAATTTTTTTTGACTTGTTTTGCAGAGATGAGGTCTTGCTATGTTGCCCAGGCTGGTCTCAATCTTCTGGACTCAAGCAGTCCTCCTACCTCAAAGTACTGGGATTATAGATGTGAGCCACTGTGCCCAGCCTCCGAATCTAATATTAAAATAGGTATAATTGGCTGGGTGTGGTGGCTCAGCTTGTAATTCCAGTACCTTGGGAGGCCAAGGTGAGAGGATTCCCTAAGCCCAGGGGTTTGAGACAAGCCTGGGTAACTTGGCGAGACCTCGTCTCTACAGTAAATCAAAAAGTCAGGTGTGGTAGCACACGCCTGTAGTTCCAGCTACTTGGGAGGCTGAGGCAGAAGGATTGCCTGAGACCAGAAGGTCAAGGCTGCAGTGACCTTGGTGAGCATGCCACTGCACTCCAGCCTGGGCGACACAGTGAGACTCCAACTCAAAAAAAGAAAGAAGTTTATAATTGTTAAAGCTAGGTGAGGGTTCTCTGTATTTGAAATTTTCCATATTAAAAAAAAAATCATAGCCTGTAATTATCTCTTCTAAGAAATCTTGCCACAACTCTGATTCTGCTACCATTTGTTAGTATTTTGGATCTTACTTTGTATTTAATTGTACCGTACAGGGAAGAATGGATTCAAATCCCAGTTCTGCCACTACTTAGCGGTGTGATTTAGACAAAATTAGACATTAACTTAGTTTCTTATCTGAAAATGGGCTCTAGTTTTCTCTTATGAAAATGGACATTGTAACACCATCTAACTTAGTAGATAATTATGTTATATCTATGATCTCTGTCCATCTGAGGAGGTGAACAGATGAACCTGACTGGCTGCAGCCCTATCCCTAAGGTATTCCTTACCTTATCCCCTTACATTGGGAACTCTTGAAGGGCAGAGAAGATGTCTCCCCCCTGCACAGGGAATGCGTAGGATCTCATTCTGACTACTTTCAGGAAGAGAGATCCTTCCAACAGATCATAAAATCCACAGACATTTGGATTGGGTCAGGCCTGGAGTACCTACTCAGTCCTTCCCTTATGAAGAGGGATCCAGAGATGGGAAGGTGACTAGCACGGGGATCAAGAAGGAGAGTGGCATCTTCATTCCATGGGAATGTGGAAAGAAAATGCTGGAACTTCTATTTTTTTAATCTCATCAACTTACAATATATTTTATGTGCATTTTATAATATGCCTACTCATAGGGTGGGATGTAGATACGTATACAGTGGAGGTACACGCCCACCATTTTTTTGGTGATGGAGTCCACAATCCCAAATGCCCGGAGGCCACTTCTGTGGCGTGTGTGTCGACTTGGTCTACTCTGGACGTCATCTCCTAACTCCAGGAGCTGGGTCTCAAGTCCTTCTCTTGTGGACTAGATGCCTTTTCTGCTCTCTGGAGCTGTGCTGTCCAGTGTAGCAGCCACTTGCCACATACGCCTATGGTCTTTTACATTTAAATTCATGAACATTAAATAAACTAAAAAATGTAGTTCCTTGGCCATACTAGCTGTGTTTGTTTGTTTGTTTCTTTCTTTCTTTCTTTATTGAGTTGGAGTCTCACTCTGTCGCCCAGGCTGGAGTGTAGTGGCCACTCCCGGCCACCGCAGCCTCGACCTGCTGGGCTCCGGCGATCCTTCCGCCTTAGTCTTCCAAGTAGCTGGAACTACAGGTGTGCGCTATCACGCCTGGCTAATTTTTTTTATTTATTGTAGGGACAAGGCCTCACCAAGTTGTCCAGGCTGGTCTCAAACCCTTGGGTTCAGGCAATCCTCTCACCTCAGCCTCCCAGAGTGCTGGGATTACAGGCTTGAGTCACCACACCCAGACACTCGCTATGTTTCAATGACTCAGTAATCACATGTGGCTAGTTGCTACCGTGTTAGAGCATATGGACATGGGAGCATTTCCATAATCACAGAAAGTGCAATTGGACGGTGCTACGTTGGAGGGAATTCCTGGGTCCATATTCCCTTCTGGAATGACTTCTACTCTTTGAATTCCAGGCCCCACTTTGGGGTTTATGAGACCTAATTTTATGCCTTTGAGAAAAACCAACACACATATGACTTACTCTCCCTCCTAACTCCAGAGATCCTTCCCCAAATGTACATTTTCAGTACAAGAGTGTAGGCTTACACCTCAGATGTTAGGTAGTTATTTCTAAGCATACAGAGAGCAACTCCCTGAACTAGACTGCATGACAAGAAAACATACCCCCAGTAGGAAATCACCCAGAGAATCAGAAGGATTCCCAGCATTTTTCCTTGTAGCACCCTACAAAGTAGACAGTCTACTTTCTTTGTTACTTGGATACAGCCCCATCATGTTTCTGTGCCCAGTTTTTCTCCAAGCCACTTGACTCTCCAGGAATGACAGTGATAGGTGAAAGCAACCAGTCCCAAAGACAGCTAAGGTTTTTGGCTCTACCGTTCCCAAGTCCTGAGTGTTGAGTCTGCATAAAAAAGTCTGGGAGCCCATGACAGTCACCAGGGGAGGAGCAGTTCTGTTGCATTGCATGTTGTTCCTAGTTTAACCTATCTGAACCAGAAACATGAGCCAGGATGGTCACTTCACGTCCTTGGGGAAATGTCACATCACCTTCCAGCATCCCCAAGAAATCTACCACAAACGTCTGGACAAACTGAAAAACAGACATCTGCAGCTTGCTACCAACCATCTGCTACCAGCCACGTGTTGCTTTGCCTGCTTTGGTAGGGATCTCCTCTTGCCTTTCATTCCCAACTCCATTCTAGAATCTTCAATGGTAGCACACTGGACAAAGCCTTTCAAGGACATCTCTCCAGCTTTCATCTCCCTTACTGGAAACCCTTACTCCATCAGATTGTTCTGCACTCTGTCCCTGGAACAGACCACATGCTTTCCTGCCTACCATTCTCTGTTCAGAGAATAACCCCCCGCTTTTCTCCCTAGTTATCCAGATATTCCCAGATACTCCAAGGAGCATTTCCAAATAACCCTTTCTTGATTTCCTTGCAGTTGAATGTGCCTGCCCATCATATATCTCACTATTTTAGCTATACTGCAAAGAGCCAAAGGTTTAGGGCTGTATCCTATGCTTTTGCGTAGCCCACACATGGCTCAGAACTGAAGCCAGGTAACTTATGTATGTATTTCTTTATTTCCAGTCAGAGTTTCCCTCTGTCTCCCAGGCTGAAGTGCAGTGGCTGCTCACCACAGCCTTGACCTCCTGAGCTCAGGCGATCCTTCTGCCTTAGCCTCCTGAGCAGCTGGGACTACAGATGCACGCCACCACACCTGGCTAATTGTTTTGATTTACTGTCGATACGAGGTCTCGCCAAGTTGCCCTGGCTGGTCTCGAACCCCTAGACTCAGGCAGTCCTCTCATCTCTGCCTCCCAAAGTGCTGGGATTACAGGCGTGAGCCACCACACCCGGCATCCAGATGACTAATTTGAACATTCATTGTGTAGTGTCTGCTGTATACCAGATGCTAGAGATACAAAGAAGTGACACGTGGCCTCAGGCCTCAAGATGATGAGTGACCCTGTCTGCTTGGGCAGCACTGGGCCTGGGGACAGAGGCCTGCGTCGTCAACCTCACGACCAGGAGGAAACTGACTCCTCCCCCAGCACCGCCTCCCCTAACTCCCGAGACCAAGTAGACCACGATTAACCAAGAGCTGGGACTCCGTGTTCCTGCTTGCCTTCCTACTGACCTGCAGCTTTGTCCAAGACACAGTAGTCTGGGGAGTTGTCAAAGTAGACAAGATCGGTCCGGGTGGCACGGCGATAGCCTTGGCGGGCTGCTGTGAAGTTGGCACCATCCTGGGTGGCTGTCACCTGCACAGCCCCATCGTAGCGCCGCCGCAGGTAATCACCTGTGCGGCGGAAGTCTGAGAGCGCACGCCAGCAGGTGCGCAGAGTACAGGAACCACTCACGCCGTGGCACTTGCACTCCAGCTTCAGAAACCGCCGCACAGCCTGGGGAGGGGGAAGCCAGGTGAGGGAGAGGCAGCAGGCCAGGACACGATTTACTCATCCTCGGGCCAAAAGAACGCGTACTCTGTGATCCGCTGGCCCTGGCTGGCTGGGTGAACCCGCGGCTGTTCCCTCAGACAGCATATCCTACCCGTCCTTCCTGACCAAGTTCAAGAAGCTTTTCTTCCAGGAGACCTTTCTGGACCCAGAGTGCTTTCCTCTGAGCCCACTGGACTCTGTTCATGACTACAGTGTGCCTGCCCATCCCCTGGCTTCTACATCTTGGAGTGCCAGGTACCACGCTTACTATCGTGTGCCGTTTTCCAGCTGGATACTGGCACATAGAAGGTGTTTGAATACCAGCGCGCTGACTAGAACAAGCTCCTATCCTCTCAGTCTCTACGAAGACAGTTATTTTCCTTCTCTCATCGACCTTTTGCTACTTGCCACGTGTGTAGACTCTTTTTGAGCCCAGGCATTCCCAAGCTCCCTTGCATTTAGTGCCCCTGTCCCAGGACGCCGGGGCTTTTGGAATCATCCAGAAGCCATCAGCTCTTCCACGTTCACATTTAGTCCATGCTCACACTTAATGGTCACCCCAACAAATACGAATGTACAGACACAGACATGAGGACTGACCGTGCGGCCACAGCGGTTGTTATGTAAGTTCATGAGGGCCCGGGCATCCTTAAGCCTCTTCTCCTTGGCATCCACGAAGGCTTTGGCAAAACGGACACCATAGTGGATGTTGTCACTGCAGCCACCCCAGTCAAAGTCCCCACGTTGGTCATGGTGTCGGCCACGGGTGTAGGGGTCACAGCTGCACACACTCAGTTCACCCTGGCTACAGGCACGAGTGATGGCATGGACCACCCCTGCTGATGAGATGGCATACACGAACGCTGCCTCCCGGCTACCTAGAGGAAGGCAGAGGTGTGTTTCAGGAAGTGGCCTGCGTGTGCCTGCTTCTGCAGCCCACATAGCCTCTGACTCCGAAACCCCCTTCTCCCCCTCCTCAGCGCATCCACCTTCACCCCCTTTGCCCAAAGCGCCCTTCCCCTTCCAGGAACATTCCCGAGTAACCGACTCCTCCCTTGGCCCTCACTGCTTGTATCCACTTCTTTGTGCCTCTGACCTCTTGGGCTGACCTGTCCTCTTGTTTCCTTCCAAATTCCCTGTGGCCATCCATTGAAAAGCCTCCTGGTGAATGATCCTCTCCCACCGGGCCCCAGCACGGGCTCCGCTAAGCCCGCCTGAGCCTGCATTCCAGGCCTTTTCAGCCCACCTGCTGGACAGTTCCCCACAGCGGAGACCCCAGCCCGGGGCAGCCTGCCTGGAGAGAGACATGCCGCCTGTGGCCAGCTCTCCTTCCCTCCCTGCTCTCAAGGACCCATGAGTGGTCACCCGCAAGCCTGACACCTCCGGATTTCCATCTCATGCCCTGGCTCTTGGTGTACCGTCCAGCTTGGCTTAGCTTTTTTGCTGAGCTGGGGCCAGGCCACTGCCGCTCCAAACATTTACACATCACCTTTCCGTTTCTCTCTTGTTCCCATTACTGTAGTGTTGGGGTGACAATAGTGATGGTGGTGAGAAGAACAGAGAACCTCTTCCTAGACCTCAGCCTCACAGAGCAAGGAAGACCCCCACACAGGGACTGGGAGGGCAGAAGAGTGCGAGAGAAAGATGGAGGTACTGGGAAAAGTCTTCCCTGAGCCCTGGGATTCCAAGGTTTCCTGCCTGCAAGTCTGCGGTACCGGGCGTCTGTTCCTCACTGTATGCTGGGTGTCGCCCACGACGGTTCTCTGATTATGACGTCACAGGTGGGGCGGAGCGGAGAGATCTCGCCTGTTCTTCCCACTCACCACCCCAAGCATAGCAAAGGGAAGGAGCCAGCGCGAGGTGGAAAGACCCCTACTTCTGAGCATGACGCGGCCGAAGACGGTGTGGTCCCGGTCCAGCGTGGTGCAGTTCCAGCGGTGGTGGCGGAACTGGTGCTGGCACTCTCTAATCCACTCTCGGGCGCCCTCGCCCACCGAGCGCATGATGTCTGGGTAGCGCTGGCACAGCTGCCGCTGCCGGCTCACCAGCCCAGGGATGTTGTCACAGATCACTCGGGCCCCCAGTGCCCCGATGTACCTGCAAGGTGGAGACGGCCCTGTCAGCATCCAGCTCTCGTTCTGCCTCAGGAGGGGAGGGAGGCGGGAGGGGTGGGGTTTGGCATCCAGACCCTGAAAAGACTCCTTCCCCCAGCCCCAGGCCCCATTCCCTGAAGCTGACAGGGGAAGCATTCCCCACGAGCTCCGGAGAACAGGGATGCGGTTGCAGAGAGTCACCAGTCCCCCAGCCAAAGGCCAGAGTGACTCAACTCCCAGAACACAGGCATGTGTCACGTACACAGAAGCTGTGGGCATGTCACACAAACCTGTGTATGTTTATTTAATACACATGAAGGGCCTCGTGGAAAAATAAACTAACCAGACAAGGGTCTGAGACAACACTCTTACAGCCCCACGAAAGAGGGAAGTCCTGCGTGGCTGGTCCCTGAAAGGATGGTTTGGCCGTGGGGGGGAGGGGCTGGGGGTTGGGGGGAGCAGACACGGGCCATTGTGAGCAATGTTGACAGCTCTTGTCAGACCCCTGCAGCCAAGTCCTCATTCCCAGCCTGAGGTCCGGGAGGAAGCGCCAGCTGTCCTCCTTATGCCTTTATGTCCAGGCCCAGGGCCTCTGTAATGCACCTTTTAAAATCATCCTCCCCAGCCTCTAAGGCAAGATGTCCTGGACAGACCTGCATGGGCCAATGGCAGTGGGTCAAGATGAAGTGACAGGGCGACCGAAGTGACAGGGCCCCAGTCTGCTCAACATGAAGTTACAAGAAGAGCAATTGCGATGGACAACTGAAGAACGGGCGGGCTGCCAGTCACCCTCCGGTTTATCAAGGCAGTGTGTTCTCAGCACCAAACACCCACAGCCCTGGGCTCCGCACAGCCTCGGGAAGAGCACTCCTTGCTGTGGCTCCAACCCTAGCACCTTCCTCGACTTGCTGGGGATTTTCCATTCTCCAGTCCAAAGCACATCAGAGGGACGCCCTCTCTCCCCTCTTCTGGACAGGTGGGGGCCGTGGAGAGCAGCTGCCGCTGCAGACAAAAAAGCCTTGGTCTGCGCCGTGGATGAGTCCACGGTTTGGGAACAGTCCCCAAGTGGGTCCAGAAGCGGGTGAGAAGGGCGGGCAGCTGGGGGGGAGGGAAAGTGAGCTGGCCCCAGCTCGTGTCTGTCCCCCCCCCCGGCCCCCGCATTCCCACAGCCGGCCCTCACCCGCAGACTGGATCACCACTGGTGACACCAGCTCAAACAAACACAAGGAGGGCTGGTGCTTGCCTCTTCGGTAACTCAGCGGGCTGATGGGGCCCATCTGTCCCGGGGGAGGGGGGAGAGGGTGGCCCTCCGCTCACAAATCCCACGGAATCAGCGTCCCCAGCACTGTCCATCAGGGCAACAGCTTCCAGGAACAAACAAAATAAACACCCCAGGCCGGGCCAGGCCGGAAGGGCTGCCTGACGCACAGCCGAGTTACACCCACTGCTGCGGTGCTTTGTTTGGAGAATCAAGACAGTTGGAGTTGGAGCCTGTCCCTGTCTCACCACCATTCTGCTTCCCCGTTCAGCCCCAGAGCTCTGCTCTAGGCAATGGGTGTTTGTTTTTTTTACTGGGGCTTGAGGGAGGGGGGTTGGATGGGAACGGGAGACCAATAATCCAGCCCTCATGAGACAGTCTGGAGTGGGGCAGGCCAAACTCTGGCAAGAAAGTCCTTCCTGTGGTCTGACTTAAATCCACTCCACTGCAGCCCACGTAGGTCCTTGCTGCATCCTCACCGAGCGTGGGAAACATCTGTTCAGTATCTAGGTTGGGAAATAAGCTTCTCTGTTACCATCTTGGCCCCACTAAGGAACTGCTCCAAGACTGCAGAACATGGCACTTGCCTGCAGTCCGGTGGTCAGACCCGTGTAGTCAGTATGGTAGCCTCCAGGAGAGCTGACTCGAGGCCGGCGCCATCTCCTCCAGCACAGGCTGCAGCGTGCTGCCTCTTCCAAGCGCCGAGCTCAGATGTCAGGGGCACGAAGACACTGACGGCACGGCCGGCTGATGGTCTGGTGGAGGTGCCGGATGCCCCAGTTCCGTAGGTGTCTTTCAGCCTCCTCCCCAAGTGCCTCTCTCCCCCGGCTTTGGGCCAGTTCACATCCCTCCTTTGGCAGTGACTCCACAGGTCGATCTCAGAACAGTGGAGTCCGGAGTCCGCATTCCCAGGGCATCTGTTAGCAACACAGAGCCTCAGGCCCCCAGGCCTGCTGAACCTGTGTCTGTGGCTCGCCAGGGTCCCGCGGGGTTGGACTTGGGCGCTCGCTGCTCTGAAGGCAGGGATTTGTGTGTTTTGTTCACTTCAGTATCCCCAGTATTGACAACAGTGCCTGGCACGTAGTAGGTACTCAACTATGTGTTGGATCATCACCTAATTGATTTATCTCTCTTCTCCCTTTGCTGGCCATAAACTTCATTTCAATTACAGCTTGACTTTTTTTTTTGGCACGCTCACAGCCACTGCATCCTCGACCTGCTGGGCTCAGGCGATCCTTTCGCTTCAGTCTTCCAGGCAGCTGGAACCTCAGGCACATGCTACCACACCCAGGTTATTTTTTTATTTATTGTAGAAACAAGGTCTCACCAGGTTGCCCAGGCCGGTCTCAAACCCACGGGCTCAGGCAGTCCTCTCGCCTCGGCCTCCCAAAGTGCTGGGATTACAGGCTTAAGCCACTGCGTCCGGTCTACAGCTTTACTTCTTGCTGACAACTTATTTGCAGATGTTTTATGTTTGTGTCATTTATTTATTTATTTATCGAGACGGGGTCTCGCTCTGTCACCTAGGCTGGAGTGCCGTGCTATAACCATAGCTCACTGCAGCCTGAAATTCCTGAGCTCAAGGAATCCTCCTGCCTCAGCCTCCTGAGTAGCTGGGACTACAGGTATGCACCACCACACCCAGCTCATTGTTTTTTTTTAATAGAGACGGGGGTCTCACTTTGTTTCCTGGGCCGGTCTTGAACTCCCGGGCCCAAGCAGTCCTGTCTCCCCCCTCAGCCTCTCAAAGTGACCAGATCACAGAAGAGCCACTGTGCCTGGCTGTCTGGATCCTTTTCATGAGACCAGATATCCCTTTTTTCTCCTTGCACGGCCCCTAGTGTCCATGGTTCCGCCCAGCACACACAGGACTTTGAACACAGGACGAAATGATTGCCCCCCCACCGCCGAGTCTTCTCTACACCACAGCATCTGCACAGCCCTGCAGTTGACAAACCTCCGTCCCTCACTTTCGTTGTCAAACGAGGGTCATCCCGGAACCCCCTCGCCGGATTGTTTCGGACCGATGAAAGTCAAGCTCTTGAGGTACCTGGAGCGTCTGAGGGCTCCAGAAACGGGAGCAGGGATGCCAAGGCCGCGGTGCGCTGTGCCCCCTCCCTGGGCGAGCCCCACATCCAGCCCCCGCCAGGGCAATGCAGGAGGCCCCCGCGTCTTGTTCTGTGTGGCAGACAAGAGAAATCCTCCTTCTCCAGGTGAGGGTGGCGGGAGGGAGGGCTGGCGCGCCAGGGGAGGAACCCCGAGTGTGAGGAAGAGCCTCCTCTTGGCTGGAAGGCAGACTCCAAGGGCAGACTCCAAGGGATACCTGGTCTTGTTGGGCTTTCAAGAAGGGAAGGGGCGCGACCACGGAGACAGGCGTAGGGGCCTGCGGCTGTGGCGGGCGCGGGGCGAGGAGGCTGAGACCCGTGTCCACGCCCCATCCTG